GCACCTAGCACCTGAACACCGGACACCTAAAACCAGTTTGCTCCAATATTATCGGTAGCACCTAGCACCTTAAGACGGTAGCACCTTTCACCGAGTATAACGCGCAACTGTAACATTTGAATGTGATTATTATTATTGTACATCACACTGTGAACTGGAACGTTATATAAAAATCTGTATATTAATTGAACTATTTATTAATTTAATAAATGTATTTTAATTGATTACACTTGTTCCATTTAAATTTACTTGATTGTACAGGTACCTTCGAACCCATTATTGTAACGTGCCTCATAGGTACCTACTAGTTAAATCTACACGTTACTACTGGTGGCAGCGAACTTATATATACTTTAAAAAAACCGAAACGTTACATGACCATGATCCAAGATGGACAGACGCGCAGAGAAAAGGCAAGGAAAAGTTCTGGATGCACAGGCTGAAGTCATTCCGCCCTAATGGTATTAACAAACTTAATGACTTCACCAGGATGAACGTGAACTAGACCCAATCCCGGATTGTAACAAACAAGTTCATTCTCTCTATATAGTGTAAACTTTACCGTTAATTCGTATTAGTAATCCTGGAACAACCTACCCAAATATTTACAGCTCACATTTTTGTTTATTTCTTTTTTCCGATTTCCAAATTTATAATATATCCAAATTCATATTTCAAAATTGTCCTTCAATATTATCTTTCTTTAATTTCTTTTTATCATGTAGAGTTACGCTATTTTCAGAGAATAAGACAATGTACGATTTACTGTTGGCCGTAATTAATTAGCGATAATTAATTCGTTCAATTATGTAAATCACACTTCACCAGACTACACCCGATAGACCGGACGCAATTCATAGCGCTCCGGATTTCTTTGTTCACAACTGTTTATAAACTCCAAATTAAACATGTAACATTGTAAATATTTAGTGTTTGGTAGTTTAGTAGTAGTGCTAGTTGTTTTTGCTTCTCTATTTCCTTTTTTCTTTGTCCTGAGGAAGGGACAGGTTGTCCCGAAAATTTGACAATTATTATTGTTCGTGTCGTTGGTCATTTTTAGTGCTTTATATAAATTTCCATCCGTGACCTTGTATCTACTTAGTAGATCCGACACTTAGGATATACAGTGTTGTTGGTTTTTAGTGCTTTATATATATATATATATATATATATATATATATATATATATATATATATATATATATATATATATATATATATATATATATATATATATATATATAAGAATAGGGTTATTTTATACTGTATATATTAATGTTAGCCTCAAAAACAATATTAACATTGTTAATATAAGGTGTACATTAATTCCCTCTTCCCTTTCCTTGAACTCTTTCCCTGCCAACTCTTATTTCCTTGCCCTATATCCATCACTTAACATTTTAACATAATAAAAGTTTGAACTTTTTATGTTCAAACAAACGAAGTCGAAATAACCTGACTCCATGTTTATGTTCAGTAAACCTTATTTCCGAGCTTCTCAAATCAAGGATGAAATGCTTGTGAAACAAGGAAATGGGAAGAGAAAAACCGCTGAAACTGTCATCGGACTGCAAATTTTGTCAAGGTCAAATCAAAGCCATTTGTTTGAACCTTATGTCACAAAAAAGCTATGAAATTTTGAAGTTTAATCGCCAGTATCAGGGGCGGATCCAGGAATTGAGATTGGGGAGAGGTTGAATTTTGTTTTTAGAGGTAGGGGGTCTGGGGCTGCCTTAAGCTCCTGGGTTTTAGTGATTCTATAAATTAAATTTAAATACCTATAAATTAGCCTTCATAGGTGTAGTTACACCCTTCCTACAAAAACAAAAACATCTTAGTATCAATGATCAAATTATGCAAAATTTCTCATCATCTTAATTGTCAAACTTATCTGCTCATTATTGAGCTGTGATTTGATCCCATCTACTTATAGTTTTGTATGTAAGTCATCCCTGTCTTTCATCATGTCACACACAGGCTCTTTCACCATGCCCCTTTTCATCTTGTGTCATGACACCTTTTGACTTAATGCATGTCTTCTCAAATTTGCAGTATTCAATATTAGCTAATAATGCATGATTTCTGACATCCTCGCAAGCCAGGGGTCCTGAGTCAACACGTTGACTCAGGACCTCTGGCTTGCGAGGATGGATTTCTGAATCAGAATGACTTTCCTGTGCAAAAGACGAAGACAAGAAATATAATACATGAAATATGGAGATAAAGAATAGTAATCAAGCTCAAAGTCCATTGAACCAATACAAACCGGGAGCAGAGCAAACACAGACCTCTAAAAAAACATCAGAGGTGGGATCAGGTGCCATAGAGGAGTAAGCATCGCCTGTCGACCAGTCACACCTGCCGTATGCTCATTTTCATGAAAATACATCACGTAAATCATTTTCCGTATCTTTACATTTTATCTAGCTATGAAACTTTCGTATACAAAAAGATAAAATTATAATGAGTATCATTTTAGTCGGACATTTCAATACTTACTTTAATCTTAATTATAATATCTTAAAATGTAAAACATTCAAACTAAACTCTTTCTGATGTACATGTTTACAATTAGCTGCATTACTCGATGAAAAAATAGAGGGTTAAATTAGAGATACAATGCAATATGTCCTCCACTTTTGGACTAGTTCTCCTAAAACGGCCTGTTTCACAGTATTTAATGCCAAAACTGATGTTGTCACTTTACTTTCCCCAATATTCTTCATATTGCCATCATCAGCAATGGAAGAGAAAGTGCATTTTTAATTCGCCTACCTGTACATTGTACCATCTAGGCGTTAACCGTGCCCCACACGCCCCCTCCATCCAGTGTGTATCTATGCTTTAAAAAATCATATTTTAAATAGAAGAAATATCTTTGAGACAATTATCCTTATGATTCGTATTGATCAAGAAAATTACTCCTGTCTTAAACTTAAGAAATGATATGGGGAATTATATTTAACCCAATTTGTTACTTATTTTCCACTAGAATCTAAAGACGTACCCTATTGATTTTGAAATCTAATACGCGGATCTAGAGGGGGAGGGATCTCCTGATCCCCTGAAATTAGTGGAGACCCCCCCCCTCCCCGCACGAAATTGGTTTTTCACGTTTGGGAATGGAGTTTCCCTTGTGTCTCATATTTCTAGCTGTTTCCCTATATCCGCGCCTTGATCAAAAAGTCACTGGATCTCAAGGTCAGAAATTCATATATTTCGGGATGATAACTTAGTTCATTTTGAGTGTTTGCAATGAAACTGTATATCATAATTTCCTACGATTTCAAAAAGACCATCAGTATTGTTTTAAAATATTACATATGCTGTTATTGTCACAATCCCAAAATCCACTGTAGAGCCATGCAAGAGTCGAAAGCGCTATGAAACTACAAGTAGTTTGCAGTAATATTTTCAGTACAGTATACATGTAACTGATTGTACACTTCTCTGTCTTTTCTTTTTATTATGCTTAAATGTGATTGTATGCCAAAATGTCCGATGAAATCAATGAATAAATAAAACTTAATTTACTAATAATTTGCTAAATTTATGAGCAGTGATTCACTTAGCACGGGTGTAATTTGTTATAGTCATGTTTATATTTAAATTATTTCAAATGTTTAAATGCCTCCCCCCCCCCTCCCCCCAATAAGAGCTTGTGAATTAACAAGCATTGGAAATCTACTCCCATCCCAACCACCACCACCACCACCTTCTTTTAGCTCGACAAATAAAAAGTTGAAGACCACATCCCGTCTTGGGGAGAACAGAACTGAACTGGAGAACGCAGCCTCAATTTCCACTGTAGGTTAGTCGGTTACATACTGAACCAGAAGTCTCTGACGAGACTGTAGCTCTACTGGTTGTATTTATAAAGGAAGATAAAAGTAGCACTTTGACTTGAAACTTTGCAACAGCAATAAACAGAATAATGATCCTTGGTTTAGTCTCTTTTGTGGCAAGATTTATTATTATATCAGACTAAAACTGTAGGAGGAGTAGCCTTTTAAAACAATTTTACAGAAATTTTGATTTAAGTAACCATGGCAACATCATTCAACAAAATCAAAAAACAATAACACCAATTATGTATCTCTGTAGTCTACTTGTATGCCACATTATACTGAAATCAGACAAAAAGTGTAGGAGGAGTAGCGTTTTGAAAGTATTTCAAGAAAATTTCTACTTTTAGTAACCATGGCAACACCGTTCATTGAAATCCAAAACTGGTATAAAGAATTATGTATCTTAGTGTAGTCTAATTGTGTGCTAAGTTATACTAAAATTAGACCAAAACTGTAGGAGGAGTAGCATTTTGAAGGTATTTCAAGGAAATTTCTATTTTTAGTAACCATGGCAACAATGTTCATCGAAATCAGAAAATCAATATAAAGAATTATGTATCTTAGTGTAGTCTAAAAGTTTGCCAAGTTATACTGAAATCAGACCAAAACTGTAAGAGGAGTAGCATTTTGAAAGTATTTCACAGAAATTTCCATTTTTAGTAACCATGGCAACACCGTTCATTGAAATCAAAAACCGATACACAGAATTATGTATCTTAGTATAGTCTACTTGCGTGCCAAGTTATATTGAAATCAGATCAAAACTGTAGGAGGAGTAGCATTTTGAATGTTTTTCACAGAAATTTCTATTTTTAGTAACCATGGCAACACCGTTCATTGAAATCAAAAACCGATACACAGAATTATGTATCTTAGTGTAGTCTACTTGTGTGCCAAGTTATACTGAAATCAGACCAAAACTGTAGGAGGAGTAGCATTTTGAAAAAATTGTTTACAGACGGACGGACAGACAGACAGACGGACGGACGACGGACACCTTACTATCGCATAAGCTCTTCTGGTCTCTGACCAGCAGAGCTAAAAATCAACAAATAATCGAGCTGAACTTCACACGCCACATGATCCACCCCAACGTCTATAAATAAGCTTAATCCGTTATATTTCTTCCTTGACTGGCAATTTTAGCAGGACCACTGCCCGATACGTTGTCGATTAACGTGAATACAACTGTATTTCTGTTTGTTTGAGGTCGATGCAGGGACATGCTGGCAACTCTTCTGCGAAGAAAGAAACTGCAGAGGTTTGTAATTACTATATCGTACAGTATCTTGGCTATTAATTTCTTCCCTAGTAAGATTTGCATGACTGAATCTTCTGACACGAGGCCAGTAAGGTTTATTGTTGTAAACAAACGAAGAATGCTGAGAGAATGTCCGGTGTGATCATTTTACCATGCATATAAATCTCTGGGATTATTGATTTCTTTTGTGATAGTTTCGCTTCAGCAGTGTATGACTTGCCTTATTCATTTAAAGCACTGGATTTAAACATTGGCTGTATATGTACATGTATGTATATCAGTATTCTTCTTAATAACAAGAGGGGGGAAACTTCCAGATATTTTCCCTCTAGGCTTTAGATATCATCTAGATTACTCCTCGCTTGCTACAGCTTTACAAAAGAGCATAAGCCAAATTAATATTTGATCGCAATTACACGAAAATTGAAACCCTATTTCGTTTTATTTGCAGGAGAGAGGCTCGTATAACATGTTCGACATTAGCAGTTTCACCTGCCTAGATTTAACTCAGGTAAAAATAATTTATATGTCTTAAATACAAAATTGTATGTCATTTAATTGTTAGTAGGAAAACACAGATAAAGGTAGCAGTAAGCCCTTTGTTTTATCAATGTTCTTTACACTGGTATATTTGACACGTATTGTGGGTTTACGCCGGGGGATAGGTTAATGAAAGTTATCAATAATCTCGGCGTGACAGTGTCGGCTACGAAAATATTCCGTTTAAGAAGAAGAATTTATAGCCCTCTGTATTCTGGTATTTTAAAATGAAAGCTCTTAATATTTAAATGCAGTGAACCATTTCTACTATAGTGACTATGTCAATAACTCTTTATAACATTTATAATACTTGTAAGAGTAAATGTTTACATTTTTAAAAACTATTTTTAAAGCAGATATTTTGTATCATTTTATAGTCATTACCTTGACTACGAGACTACGAGTTTGACAGTACATACTCTTGTATAACCCAAGCAAGGAAATAATGACAACTGAACTCAAGGACCATGAACTAATTCACTTTTTCTTCAGTATGTTGTCTTTTAATATACGAGTGGCTATTGAAGAGATGAGGAAATTGTTCAAAATATATAGGGTGTTAAACATTTTTGCATGGAACGTCTCAAAACTTAAAAAGAGAATCTATGTTTACAATAGAAAGTACTGAAAAAAAAATATAAAGCTTTTATCTTTAATTCTAAATCAAAAATCTGACGTACAAGTTTAGTCCATTCTTTAATTTTATATATACAACATAATGATCATCGAAATCATGCAAGTAAAAAAAAGAACATTTTTTTAGGGGGGGGGGGGGGCAAATTAAACTTTGTATTAAGAGGTACATGTAGGAGTGTAAAATGATTATAACAAACTTTTCGCAAATATTTTTATGTCTAAGCTAGAAATTCCATCTAAGATACTGAATTACTATATTTGCAAGACAGTGCTTTATGGATTGGTAATTAGTAGCATCTAACTTTCCTTATTTTATATGTTGTAATATTCCACTATCACCTGCATATGGTGTTTATATCTCCCAACTTATTCGATACGCAAGAGCATGCTCTGAGTACGATCAATTTTCAAACCGAGACAGGGTACTGACAGATAAGTTGATGTTGCAGAGATTTCAAAAACCTCTTTAGTCAGCATTTCGAAAATTCTGTTATATAATAGTCTATATAGTGACTTGTTTGCAAATACAACTTTGATTGAGTCGTATTTTGACTGTTATGTTTCATACTAATTGTTAGGCCATTGTTTTTATACTATATTTGTCTACGGATTATTTTGTCTACCTAAGCAATACAAAGGACTCATGGCGGGTGTGACCGGTCGACTGAGGATTCTCACTCCTCCTAGGCACCTGATTCCACCTGTGGAATTTCCAGGCGGTCCGTATTTACGCTCTGTGTACAAATTTATCGTTTGTAGGTGTTTGAGATCGATCACTGTTCGTTATCTTCACTCAAGACCTGTGGGGCAAGAAAATACAAAATTTAGGTGAAAGCTTTCTTTATAAGTGTAAATTTAAAGAATTAACGAGGGCACATTTGATTAGGATTCTATAGGAATCTAGATGCACTTGAAATGTGAAATTTTCATCGATCTGTCACATGATTTTAGCATTCTATTGATATGTAGAGTTTCCGTTATTTAGGAAAGGAAAATATTTCCCTGAAATTGTGTTTTGATTTGCTAAAATATTTAATGAAGTATGACTGTACGGGTCTTTTGGTACAATTTTTAGATACGTTTTTTCTATTAATTTACTATGCCTGGAGTCGCCTGTCCACGATTTTAAAACTTTTTGTGTGCCTTTTAACGAAACGAGCAATGAAGAGAAGACCCAGACCCCCCCCCCCCCCGAACTTTATAAAAAAAAAATCGCATTGTGTAAACGTCCTGCTTCATTGTCGTTTTAAGATCCAGTATTAGTGTGATGCGACGATAGCAGAGTGGTATAGTTTCCTCTCCATGATTCGATAATTTTTGGTTCGATCATCGCATGGAGCATTTATTTATTATTTTGTTTAAACAAGCACTCAAGTCATTTGTCAGTTTTTTTTTTATTTATTGAATCAATGACATTTAAGATAAAGTAAAAAAATTATTGTGTTGCATCGAGAGCCAAAGCAAATCTTTCACCTACTGGAATTTTTAGACATTTGCATGTAACTACACCCCATTGTCTCACAGCTGCTTGCAAATTAGGTGAAGTGATACTGTGAACGGTTATAATAATTACTGATTTTTGAAAAGATAATTTAATTTAACATTTTTATATGTGTAACTTTAAGTCTGTACATCTGTGGTCAGTCGACCAAATCGTCTACTCTACTTCACTGGACATTAACACTGTGAATGATTCGTACACACGATTCTTGCAGATTACACTCCAAATACGCTCATCTTCTTTCAAATTAAGGTCTCCAGTACTACGAGGCTGTCGAAGTTTCATAAGTGGAATATATGGATAAATCTTCATATCTAGCTTGTATAGAGCAGAAACACTCAGTCATATTACTCTTATGTCATGTAGTGTAGATTGTAGTGTAGTGTTGATAAAAGTTTTATTTCAAGTCAACATCAGAAGATTGTAGTGTAGAGTAGATAAAAGTTTTAATTGTGACCACACTTTTCAAGTCAGCATCAGAAGATGTAGACGAGTATACTATTTCATGTTGCTCCATTTTAAAATTTCAGAGAAACACACAAAATATAGAGTTTCACATTGCTAATTAGTCTACGTGCTATATCTGATTTTGAACTGAATAGCCAATTTTTCAATTATGACATGTATTTATTTATTTTATATATTTTTGGTATGAGAGAATTATAAATTCATGTCAAAATAAATTCTTCGTAAATACATGTATTGGTATATCTAACTGCCATTGTTGGTTCTTTCAGAAAGTGGAAGACTAAGAAAACTGAAGTAAATCAAGCTTTAAGTTATGATTTAAATCCTCTTTGAAATCATCTAACAAATTTTGAAACCCAATACACTTTCTTTGTCAGACCTCAATTTATTTATATATAGTTCTATATCAATTAAAGAAGTGGTTAAAGTCCGTAGCTTTGTATTTCCATAAAGAAAAAAAAACTTCTTCTTAGTCAAGGTTATGGTAATTTTGTTGGTAAAAAAAATTTAAAACATCTAATTTATTTCGGCAAAAATCGCAGTGCAACAACGTCGGTAACTTTCCCCTAAATTTAGAGTCAAAATGACAACAGTTTACCGAAATAATTTGGTTGTCAATACATTTTGAAACGTTTCTGTGACAAAGATGCGAGGTTGTTCAGTAACTTTATCCTGTCGTAAGGGTTTCATGTAAGGTCATTTGAGGCTATTAATAACTACATGTATTTATGCAACGTATGTTTATTTATTATATATTAGTATAATGCACTGTGTCTGAATATATTTCGAAAGAGATATTTTTAATATATATTTTTTAAAATTCATTAATATTTATGTTAAACCAGATATGTCAGATTATACAAAGTTGGGGACAATACGACTTTCAGTTTTGTCGCATTTCCCCCAAACATCTAGTTTAATTGAATTATATATAGTGAAACCATTTCAACATAGGTCCAAAAACGTTTCCGTATAATCTTCACCTTGGTTTATAATACTTATGTCATAAATGTCCTGTTTTCTTTTCAGATAAAGAAGAAATGAGGTGAACTTATCGCAGACAGTTCCTCGGACAGTTTACAATGAAGTACAAACAGCGCCTGGTACTAATGACAGTAGCGTCCTTGACGATCGTGATAGTGGCGCTTTACAAACTCTACCAGAAAGAAAATGTGACAGAAATGATAGGCAACCTTCCCAACTTCCGGTTTGCTGGAATAGGGGGTGCCCTAAAGTTTACAGGAGCCTGTGCTGGTACAACTATGACCTCAGATTGGATGGTAGAGGAAATTTATGACGACATGAACTTTACAACCAATCCCAGAAAAGAGGGTGGTTTGTATGTTCTTCACGAGAAGAACGAAAAATACAGAAGGAATCTGAAAAGTGGTAAAGAACCCCTGCAGATAATCGTGGTCCCCCACTCCCATAACGACCCGGGCTGGCTTTGGACATTGGAGACGTACTACACTGTTAGGACAAGAAGTATCCTTACAAACACTGTTCTCTTTCTAGAGAAATTCCCAGACTTTAGAATGATTTGGTCAGAGACTGTTTTTCTAGATATATGGTGGAAAGAGAGCCCCACTGATATGCAGAACAAGTTTAAGGACCTTGTTAAACAAGGCAGGATAGAAATTCTGTCTGGGGGTTGGGTATCAGTAGACGAGGCCAACACACTTTACAGTGCGGTTATCGATCAGCTGGTGGAAGGTCATTTATGGATCAAAGATACCTTGGGAGTCACCCCAAATATCAGTTGGTCTATCGATCCATTTGGTTATTCTACAAGTTTACCTTATTTATGGTACAAGTCTGGTATGTCGGACATGACTGTATTACGTGTTCATGGTGCACTTAAGCAGTACATGGGTCACCGTCACATTATGACATTCAATTGGCGTCAGCCTTGGGACATGGCGGGAAAAAATGACATACTGTGTCACGTGGAACCTTACACGCTGTACGGCATCGAATATAGCTGTGGACCTGACCAGGAAGTATGTGCTGTGATGGACTTCGGTCGTCGGGCTGGCCTTCCTGATGATAAGGAACAACCAATTCCTATCGGCAATGGCGCCAGACAAGCCAGAAATCTTCACGAGTATGCCACAATGGTCGCTGAGCAGTACCGTCAAAAGGCAGACCATTACAAACATAATGTGCTGCTTATGCCACACGGAGACGATTTCAGATATATAATGGATTACGAATTCGAGACAAACTACGTTAATATGAAGAAATTAATGGACCATATAAATTCTAGAAAAGAGTTGAACATTCGAATGCGTTTTGGAACTGTGGGTGATTATTTTAACGAGTTGCACAAAAGTATCGCTAAATCGGGTGAACCAGATATGTCTTTAAGTGGAGACTTTTTCACTTACACGGATCGCGATGATGAGTATTGGAGTGGATACTACACATCCAGACCGTTTGATAAACGGATGATAAGATATCTGTTAGAAGTATTAAAAACAGCGGAGATGTTGACGACGTTTTCTGTTTATCGTGCGCAACAACAGGGTTATGTTTTTAAAAATGTTCAAAAGGTATTGAGAGATCTGCAGGAGGCTAGACGCACCCATGGCTTAGTGCAGCATCATGACGCTATAACAGGAACTTCTGCGCATCCGACAGTCGTGGATTTTGAGAACAGAATCACGGCTGCCATTACTTTGCTACAGGGTGTTATTTCAAGAGACATTGAGAGCCTTTTGCTAAAAGAGGCTGCAAACACAAATATCAATATAGTACCAATTCATGTCCAACCCAAACCTGACGCTCCTCTTGAGAGACGTGTTATAGCAGTATCTGAGTCTGGGACCCAGGTTATCTTCACTAACTCGTACACACAGCGGCGCAAGGAATATGTTAGCCTTATCGTTAATTCTATGATGGTCCAAGTTCTAGATCAGCATGGCAATGAAGTACAAGTGCAGATCAATCCCTGCTGGGAGAGTCAGAAAAATATAGCCAAAGCAATCTTTGAAGTTGTATTCCCGGTAGAGATACCTGCAATGTCGTTCGTAATATTTGTTTTCAAACGATCACAAAAGAGTAAACCTCAATTTTCAAGAGTCAGCATTCTGAACGGAAAAGCAAATTCTCCTTTACCAAATGTTTTCAACCCAACAGCATTAGATTTAGACCAAAGCGAATTTAAAGTGGATACTCAGAAGTTAAAAGTCACGTTCTCGGACAAAGGTATGTTAAAATCTGTGTGTCGAAAGAAGGGAGGGCAGGAGCGCTGTACCGACACTAGCGTTAGATGGCATTGGTACAAGGGTGTGAATAGCAATGCCTACTGTTTTGGGACTGACGGGACAGTGACGAGATTGTTCGAAAAGAATGTTTTTGTGAGGGTAATATCAGGGAAATATAGTACCACGGTGATTATCAACCATGCTTTGTTGCAGCACACCACTACTATATACAACACTAGTGACCTTCACGGACGCTATGTGTACATAGAAAACGTGGCGACATTGCTGCTGGCAGAGGACAGAGATAAAGAGCTATTTATGGAGCTGCAAACTTCTATCAGAAATCCATACATGCAGTTTTATACCGACTCCAATTCATTTCAACTGATCAGCAGACAAACCCGAAATAATTATCCCATGGCTGCCAACTTATTCCCAATAACCTCTATGGCGGTCTTGCAGGATTCTAAATCGAGGTTGACAGTACATGTCGCCCAACCTTTGGGTGTAGGGAGTTTTAAATCCGGTTCCTTGGAATTTTTAATTGATCGTGTTCCAACCTCCTCTGGTAAAGGATTAGAGGAGCCTGTCACAGACAATAAACCAACTGTTAGTAAATTTATATTACATATAGAGGACTTCAATACGGAGACTGAGATATTCAAAAATCACCGGAAGAGGATGGCACATCCGTCGACAGAAAGTTTCCTCATAAATGATTTCATGCAGCACCCTCTACTTCCGTTTGTTGCGAGCAGGAAATACGAGTTGAAGGAATTTAGATTTTTAAAGTCAGGCTTGCCATGTGATATGGTCATAGCCAACTTAAAGACTTTTATTTCTGAACAACAAGAACTGTTAGGTACTGGTATAACATTACATCAACGTCAGACGTCGTGTAAGATAACAAGTGATAGTTCAATGTGTTCCTCTGGAGTGTCTAAACTCAGGTTATTTGACTTTTTCACTGACCTCAAAGTCAAGGAAATAAGAAAAATGTCGTTGACCTATTTACACGAGAAAGAGAAACTCTCGCAGACATCTGAAGTGACAATTGATAGTATGGAAATAGAGTCTTATAAAATTCAGTGGTCATGATAGTGGATCTTATAGTGTCTTACAATGTATTTTCTTTTATACACATCTGTTCTTGATATTCGCCTTTTAATTTATTTCATAGTCATGTTCATTGTTCATTGAATGTACATTCCTAATTTCGTTTCATACACTTGTTAATAAAGATGATGTTGCTAGTCAGTCTCCCCTTGAGGATCGGATTGTTAGACATCCGATTGGTATCCAGATGCAAGGGCTAGCTGCAGCAACAGTAGTCCTCGGTAGACAACCAGTTTGTTTGTTTGTTTATTTGTTTACCATCCCTTCGAGAATTTTTCACTCATATTGAGACGCCACCACTTGCCGTTTAAGGGCTGCAAATTTAGACCTGTACTCGGCACTTGCTGCCTTTGGGCAGTGAGGGGTCTTTTTCGTGCCAGCACTTACTGCAACACGGGAGCTCGGTTTATACGGTCTCATCCGAAGGACCGGTCTCCACGTCCCACAGTGGGATTCGAACCCGCGAGGTAAAGGATTAATTCCTTGCTCTGCGACGCTCTAACACCGCCACGCGGGCGACGCAGAAAACCAGAGCAAACACGTGTTACAGATGTAGACACATGTTACTGATCGACAACTTCATACAACACATGGTCTTAACCATTCTGACTGTCCCCTAAGGAAATGAAATTATATATAGATTTTAATATTTTTCACTGAACTGAGAATACCAATCGATGTGTGCATTAATTTATCTACTTATGTCCCGGCCTTTTAAAAGATTGTAATTATCAATATATCAAGATTATTTTAACCTAAGTTTATTTACAGATCTCCTATACATGATTACTTGCGTTAACTGGAAAATACCCTGCATGTTATCAACAATTATGGAAGACTTGTATATATCTATTGCTAGTAAGGCTTTCACCAGAGAATCCTGTCGTGCCTTCATGTTATACAACAAAAACTGACAGGGGACACGTAGAACAACTTAGAACAAGGCCTATACCTCCTTTATTTGGAGTACTCTTGTAAAAACAGTGCTATCTAAAATATATATATCATAGAGCAAAAGTGTTCATAAAGTTTTTCATTCACTGAGAGTTTTTGTACACTGAAGAGATAAGTTTTTTGCTAATTCAGGGCTCATATGGACATAAAGAGAACAAACATAGATGGAAAAGGTCAAAAATAGGTGATAAAGAGCATTTACATACATATCTATATAAACATATACATGTACACATATGACACTTGTATGTATTGTGGTAAAGGGTATCAACACAATAATGACAATATATGCAACTTTAATGCTTAAGAATATAAAGATTGCAATTTACATAAATTGTAGAGACTAAAGCACATATGGATTAAAAGGAGATGTATGTGTTTTAATGCATCAAAGAAGATCGAGTTCAACCACAGGTTACATTTATTCCTAAGGCCGTCTTAATTCAACATATTTTCTGAAATTTGATTAATGGACACAGTCTTTGCTGTTTCATTCTTCTTAAAAAAAAATAAGTTTAACAAAGATCAATCTTAGTAATTATGCTAATACAACCCTTTACGAAAACTCTGTAGGACTAGGCCATCTCTCACAAAGTGTACAATTATCATCCTTTATGTATAAACATATTTTTTAGCATGAATATTTATACTATTGTGTTTTCACATATATGTATGTATATCGATAGAGAAAATACGTGGCACAAGAATGTTTTTCCCCTTAAAGCTTAGGTTATGTTGATCCTCATACTAACATTTGAAACATTGACATGTTTAGCACATATGCTGGATTAAAGCAATGCATAAAAATGGGTAGAACATTGTTTACAAGAATAATCCCAGTTTTAATAGAAATTAAAACAGGTTTTGTGTGAACCAGCAGCTGTCTTCAGAAAGGTTCACTTAATGTTATTCAGTAATGAAAAAAATCAGGTATATCGACAATTATAAAAAGCATACTGAGCAGTGACAAAATCATAAAGGACCCGACAGATTGTTTATATGTATTTCAATAATTTGTCTTTGAGCAAAAAGACCTAAAAATATGACGGGGAATTTTCTTTCAATGCGTTTTTTATGCTAAATTATGCCTAAGACCGTATGCAATTTAAAAGTGTTCACAAGGAAGTGAATGATTCTGACATAAAAAAAAACCCACTAGACGGTGGGTTTTGACTTCTCATATTTTTATTTAAATGACATCATAATATTTAAGTATTTTATCTTTTTCAAAAATACATTTTTTTTCATCTCTGCATTAGATAATTAATAAAATTGGTAATAAAATATTCTAGTTATTGCATCACAATCAGCTTGAAGATCAATCCGATTTTTGAGTTGACCTAATTTGTATCACCAGTAATGTTAAAATTTATGTATTTTTCACTTAATATTCAGGCCCGTGGGAACCGGGGGAGGAGATGTTTCCAATTATTTTGCCAGAATAAGATAAGATTTATTGATACCAATTTGGAGCCCCTCAGGGCATACAAGTAAAGAATAATATACACAAGAAGAAATTCAAAAAGAAACGACTAGTAACTAAAGAAGATGATGATGATGATGATTATAGCAGATGGGGATTACCAATAATATATACTATACAATTAGGAAAATATTAAAATTAGTGGTTGTTCTCCCTCAGTAGCAACGTCGGACCCTTTTAGCTCATCTGAGCCGAAGGCTCAAGTGAGCTTTTCTGATCGAAATTTGTTCGTTGTCTGTCGTCGTTGTCGTCGTCATTGGCGTTGTCGTAAACTTTTCACATTTTCATCTTCTCCAGAACTATTGGGCCAATTTCAATCAAACTTGGCACAAAGTATCCTTGGGTGAAGGGGATTCAAGTTTGTTCAAATGAAGGGCCATGCCCCCCTCCAAGGGGAGATAATTACGAAATAGCAAAAAATTAATGGCATTATTGAAAAATCTTCTTCTCAAGAACCAATGGGCCAGGAAAGATGAAACTTATGTGGAATTATTGTCAGGTAGTGTAGACTCAAATTTGTTCAAATCATGACCCCCGGGGGTAGAGTGGGGCCACAATGGACGATCAAAGTTTTACATAGGGATATATAGGAAAAATCTTCAAAAATCTTCTTCTCAAGAACAGCAAAGCTATGATTGGTCGTATTTATATGGAAGCATCCTCAGGTGGTGTAGGTTCAGGTTTTTTCAAATCATGACCCCCGGGGGTAGGGTGGGGCCACAATGGACGATCAAAGTTTTACGTAGGAATATATAGGAAAAATCTTCTTCTCAAGAACAGCAAAGCAATGATTGGTAATATTTAAATGGAAGCATCCTCAGGTGGTGTCGATTCAAGTTTGTTCAAATCATGACCCCCAGGGGTAGGGTGGGGTCACAATGGACGATCAAAGTTTAACATAGGTGTATATAGGAAAAATCTTCAAAAATCTTCTTCTCAAGAAAAGCAAAGCTATGATTGGTCATATCTATATGGAAGCATCCTCAGGTGATGTGGGTTCAAGTTTGTTCAAATCATGACCCCCGGGGGTAGGGTGGGGCCACAATAGAAGATTAAAGTTTTAATTAACATAGGATTATATAGGAAAAAAATCTTCTTCTCAAAAACAGCAAAGCTATGATTGGTAATGTTTATATGGAAGCATCTGCAGGTGGTGTAGATTCAAATTTGTTCAAATCATGACACCCGGGGGTTGGGTGGGGCCACAATGGACGATCAAAGTTTAACATAGGAGTATATAGGAAAAATCTTCTTCTCGAGAACAGCAAACTTATGATTGGTCATATTTATTTGGAAGCATCCTCAGCTGGTGTAGATTCAAATTTGTTCAAATCATGACCCCCGGGGGTAGTATGGGGCCACAATGGACGATCAAAGTTTTACATAGCAATATATAGGAAAAATCTTCTTCTCAAAAACAGCAAAGCTATGATTGGTCATATTTATATGGAAGCATCTTCAGGTGGTGTAGATTCAAGTTTGTTCAAATCATGACCTCCAGGGGTAGGGTGGGGCCACAATGAAAGTTCAAACTTGTAGAGAAAAAGTCACAGTTAGTCAAAAAAATCATGCAAGCATCCTTAGTTAATGTAGATTTAATTTTGTTCAAATCATACCCCCCTCCCTTTTAGGGGTAGGTTGGGACCACTTATGCATTTAAGCTTTTCAATACTAAACAGATTTGTCCTCTTTTCCTAGCCACAGTGCTCAGGTGAGCGATGTGGCCCCTGGGCCTCTTGTTTCTTAACTCATTGCGTCACAATAACCATATCATAATCTCAATTAATCTTCAACTAATTGACACCAAAATCGAAAATATATTATCTATCAATACAGCAAATGTGAATCCTGTAGCTCTAAAATATCCGAGTTCTTGTATTATATAATGTGAAATGGTCATAGCAGTTACCTTGACCTTTGAACAAAAGAACCCTCCAAGCTATAGGTGTCTTCCTCTAAACACGTGAAGTTGGTAGGCTAAAATACGGTCAAATTATCGCGTCATGTAAATTGTTGACGGACTGACAAACAGAGGGACACTAACATTTAATGTGGGTCCTAATTATGTCTGTAGTGTGTAAAGTTGCAGTCCCGTAGGAAGCAATTTCACTTTGAGGAGGCACAAACATACATTTTCAGTTGGGGGGGGGCACTATCAATTACCAAAATTCCTTGACAAGCAAAAAAAAAAGGTCATCAGACGTTATTTTGAGGGACACAAGCATATAGTAGCTATGTTTTATATAGTATTCTATATATCGGCAAAATTATTGGGGGGAGGCACCCCCCCGTGCCCCCCCCCCCCCCCGTTCCTACGGGCATGAGTTGAAATCAATAAATACATACAGTAATCACCTTCTTCGTTTTCATACGGAAGCGTATTGCTGCCTATTGAAATTATTTTTTTTTCTAAGTCGTACGCACGAGATATTATGTCGTACGTACAAGAAAATATGTCGTACGTACGAGATACTAAGTCGTATGTACAAGATATTATGTCGTACCTACGAGATACTAAGTCGTATGTACAAGATATTATGTCGTACCTACGAGATACTAAGTCGTACGTACAAGATATTAGTCGTACCTACGAGATACCAAGTTTTACGTACAAGATGATACATGTATGTCGTATGTACGAGATAATATGTAGTTATCAAGATTTGTTGTAATAAAGCAGGATGCATAAAAATACACAAGTCAAATAAGCAAAAATAAACAATATTTTAGATAAAAGTGCGATTTTTAAAAATCGTATTCATTAAATACAGACAAATTCCTCTGCAGGATTCGAAC